ATGATCTGCATGGAATGATTAGAAACCTCATAGTGTAGTATTTAGTAAGATGTACTGATAATTAGCAGAAGTTCTTATAATAATAATAAATTTTATTTATAGGAGCCTTTCAAAACACCAAGTCACCTTACAAGGCGATAAAATAACAGTGTAGCAGTGTAGGATATACAGTTTAAAAAGATGTCTTACCGACAGAGAGACAGCCATGTGAACAAGAAACGCCACTGATGAAAATAATGTAGATTTGTAGAAATAAGATACTTTTATTTGTTTCATGAAAATGTATTTAGTTATTGATGAATATGTAATTTCAGTCCTCCATATAGGCTAAGGAAGACTACAAATGACTTATTCAGCAACAAATAAATACATGAGTATAATCATTTGCATTTTATGGATTTCTTTCAACTTTTGTTTTTGTTTATTTAAATAAAAATTAATAAAAAAATTATTTCAGCATTTATTTGACTTTACTAAACTGATACAAGAAAACTAACTCAGACACAAGCAGACAGATCACAACAAAACTAACGCCAACAGGGAAAACAGACTGGGATAAAACAGAACTCAGAGCAGACATGGGCAAAACACAGAAGTACACAGACCCGGAGAAAACACTAAGACATGAACTGAGACACAGAACTAAACCTAAGATACAAGACAGATACTAAGTAAACTTTAATATGCGGATGAATAAAATAATAAACAAGGCTACACGGAGACTAAAGCAGAATGATCAAAATCATAATGAACTAAACAGATCGTAACCACACAACCAGACACGCAGACAGTACCAGACCAACCAGCACAAACACACAGAGTAAACTAGACACAAGACATGACCCAAAACACAGACTAACCCAACATACTATAAGACAGATGCTAAAGGACTACAGATAATAACACTGACTTGGAACTAAAACAGAGCAGACACGCCCACAGCGTGAAAACCAGCTGCTTTTGGGGCAAAAAGTTCTTCGTTTTGCCGTCGACACGCTCAGACTGTTGAACCAGGTGTTTGATAACATCGTGGACAGGATCCCTCCGAGTGCCTCCTGGCGACACAATTTGTTTTTTACCAGAAACAAAAGTCTTGTTCAAAGACGATTCTCGCTCTGTAATTTCACGAGAGAGTTGTTGCAACGGTGGTCAGTCAGAGAGGATTTGTTGTGTTGAAATAACGTGAGTCTTAGCAGCGCTATGTTTGTTTTTAATTGTTAAAGGCGCCAATAATGGTGAATAATATTAGCCAAAAAGCTCACTCCGAGTTATCTGGCTGCACTGAATGGAAAGTTAACAACACCGCGTTTATGTGTGCCGGCAAATCTCTGATGAACTGACTTACCAGAAAACAAAAATAAAAGTGCGACTCCGGTGGGACTCGAACCCACAACCTTTGAATCACTCCTCAAGTGCTTGACTAGAAGTCCAATGCGCTATCCATTGCGCCACGGAGCCACCTGTTGAACACTTCGGCTTAATACATAATAAACCTTCTTATTCGCATGTTATCGATTTATCACACTGCGTAACATGTAGCGAGGTTGCGTCGTGTCGCTAACGCCGCTTCAATGTACTAGAGAGAAAGAATCGGGATGACTAACTTACTGGACAACGACAGTCACGGAACCGGAGAAGGAGCCGACATCTTCTCGAGCCTCTTTCTGTTTGGGACTGGTTGCGTTTAAGCGTGGGATGATCTCTGAGATGCAAACTATTGTAACCTACAGGATTGTTTAGGGTAACTTAATCTTGGCGACATTAACGTTACTCTGCTCTTTATTGAAGAAGACACCGCAGCATGACGCCGCCTGGTTCACGCCCATAGGCTGTATATATAAGAAGCTCACGCCCATAGGCTGTATATATAAGAAGCTCACGCCCATAGGCTGTATATATAAGAAGCTCACGCCCATAGGCTGTATATATAAGAAGCTCACGCCCATAGGCTGTATATATAAGAAGCTCACGCCCATAGGCTGTATATATAAGAAGCTCACGCCGGGTCTCTCTCTCTTCTAGACGGTTATGTCTATAGGTTTTGCTGTAAAACTGATGCGGGTTCTTTTTCAGTTCATTTGCTTAAAAGCTACTTGCTAGGTCGTCATCTTGAACCTGCTTTTCCAGTTACTGCCATAGACTGTGTGCATAAAGGCATAAACCTGATGTGATTTCCTGTTTGGTTGTGCATGCCTTCAAAATAAAAGAATGGACGTGCGTGTGAAAGCTACGGAGCCCCCCTGATGACATTAACAGAAAATATATTAACTCGTGGCCACAAATTATTTTTTTGAGGCCACAACTTATTTTTTTGTAATAGTGACCACAAATTATTACTTTGAGGCCACAAATTAATATATTTTTCATTGAAGTCACCAGGGGGGCTCCATAGTACGTAAAGCAGGTGTAAAGTATTGTTTTTTTTGTGCGTTTAGTGCCCCTCCCGTTTCAGAGTGTAATTCACCTTTGTCGTAAATAAGGACAACTGTACGCGTGCATCTGTTAGGATTATAAAACAAAAAGATAAACTAGCAAGTCACCAACTTCGCTAACACAGCCAAACATCAAGCAAGTGTGAGAACACAATTAATCTCAAGGAATGCTACATCTAGGCCTACTAACTGTAATAATAATAACATATAATAATCCTTATTTGTAGAGCACTTTTCAAAAACAAGTTACAAAGTGCTTTAACAAAGAATAATACAAAAAAAACAAAAAAAAACAAGATAAGAGCATGAAAACATTGAAAAGACTAAAATACAAAAAGGTTAGGGTGAAATATGAAATATTAACGACTCTAAACATTCATAAAATATATACTTAAAATCATTTATCACCATTGATGAACCCCACAAAGAATACTGTAGCGTAATAGCAGTATTTGGAGGTGCATGCAGTTCTCGGCAGGGATGCAAAACTCGGCATAACACCTGTTGTCTCTTGCTTGGTCACTCTCTTTTTCTCTTCTTAGCTTTTGAGGCAAGCTATAAGAAGCAAAATAGTAACCTATATAATGTAAATAATACTTTGGAAGAAGCTAGTTGAGTATTCTCAGTATGGATATCATGGCAGAGCCTGCAAAGAGACCAAAGTTGTTGGTAGGAAGGAAAGAAGATAAAAGAGAGAGTGAGAGAATTATGGCTAAACAAACATAACAGTAAAGTTAAGCTAGCATCAAATCCATCAAATCCAAATAAAGTTATTATGGATTTACGTAACCTATTTTCTGCTCCCGCTGCTTTGAGCAAATGTAGCTCCAGTTAGATAAGTGAGCAGAGAATGCTGCCAATCTAACCACCTCCACGTTCCTTCCTGTAATTAGCTAACATTAGGAATATATTTTTCATCTCCAGGTGGAAATATTAGGGGCCATTAACCCGACTTACTGTCAAAGAGCTGTTCTGGGCAATTTTTGTACATGGCAGCAGTGGAATGGAACAAACTTCCAGTTGAGATCTACTTCTTTCTTCTTTTTGTCCACTAAAAGTGTTTGGGCAGCAAAAACTGTTGGACGAAAACTCAAACGAAGATTAGCTATGTGTGAACATGCTAAATCAATTAACATCTATATCTCCACAAGTCTTTCTTCAAACGCTACCAAACTCGACAGAGTCGTTCTTCAGATGGCCGATATCAATTGTTTCAAAGGGTTTTCAGATCGGTCAAATGTTGACACATTTGGTGGTTTCATGGTCTTGTTGACAATGGGGGTGTTCAGATCATAGTAGTTCTCAATTTTATTTGGATCCTATGACACTTTAGTCTTATTTATCTCTGCTTAAAAGTGTTTGTGCAGCTTAAACTTTAAATCTTGGAAACACAAAATGTTGCAGGTGGGTTCACCCAGTAGTCAACATTTAATGACACTCTCTGATTTCAAGGTGATGCTGGAAAAATCAAGTTTGTGTTTCCGCAATTATATCAAAGTCCAAATCTCTCATCACTTTAATCTCTTAAGTCATCTGCATCTTTTCTTCTCTGAAAATGTCAAATGTTGCGTTATTCACGACTTGCTTGGATCCCGATCACTGCGGTTATATATTAATTTGAATCGGGATGTGTAAGGTCTTTTGGAAATATTTTGTAAGGACAACAAGAAGAAACAGTTCTGATAAGTGTATATTGTCACTGTGATGGCATGTTTTTATGCATTTATTTGTGTTACTGTCCAATCAAATCAAATCAAACTCCAATCCTGATGAGTTTCCTCTTGAGCTGTTTCGGGGGAAGTGTCTAAAGTGAGACCTAACTACTGTACTTGTAACTGTAGGTTTGATTTGTATAGAGTACATACATCCATTCCATTGCAAAAGAATTTGGAGTAGGTGTTTGATCTGAGGATAGTCTAAGTGATTTCAAAGTTTATCCGGGGGTGGCTCTATGTATTTGTTAGATGTAAAATGTAACTATCATGTCATGTATGTTGTCCCTCAAACGTAAATGTAAGTGATGGAGCATGTAGTTCTTGTTGTAGTGGGTAGGAGACACAGAGAGGAATAATCCGAGAGAATTCGGGGTGCAGGAATTCACATTAAAAGGATTAGTGAGCATGGCTGAGGGAGCTGGGTACTGTTAACACGGGGGTTTTATATGATGGATGAGCAGCAATAGGGTGCATAGGGCGGCTGACACGGATAGGGATTTGAGGACTAGGTGTAAGGCGTGGAGAGTAAAGTGATTTGGGAGGGGGGGGGGTCTTTTATTATTATTTTATCTTTTAAAGGATTTAGATTGTAAGTCTAGTGTCTGATACACACTCCGATGCAAAAGGTAATGAGCGAATGAGCTGGATGCCATGCGTAAAACAAGAAGAAGATGAAGAGCGAGAAGTTTGTTTTTTGTTTTGATTTGTTTATTTTATTATTATTATTATTGTTTTTTATGATATAAAGCAGTCCCAACGAACACAGTTCATACTACATGCTCCGGTACAGCAGGTGGCGGTATGCACCTTCAAAAGTCACGGTTGCAATCTGCCATAAATCGAAAAGAGGAAGAAGAAGAAGAGGCGCTGAGGAGCGAGGCTCGGGATGTTGGCAGAGGAGCTCGGGCACCGTCAGAGACGGGGGCAGCGGGAGGAGGATCCTTTCTCCTCGAGATTAACCGAACAAACCCCGGAGACCGATGGAAGGAACAACAGCAGCAGCCCCAGGAGAACACAGCTCATTTAACGCGACTGGCGTGAAACAGGGAACGTAACCGCTGACTGTAAACCTCAACACGCACGTTAACGTTAACGTTACTCTTTCTCCATCTCCACCATTTTGGTTGTCAGTGATGGAGCACATCCGGACGCCCAAGGTAATGACACTCCGCATTGAAAACACTTTGTCTTTGTGCGTCGCCCTGGTTTATTTCTCTGCTGGTGCGCTCATGCGTGTGCGCTAACGTTAGCGCTGCGCCTTGACCCTCCTGTCTCCATCCGTCTCCATCTCATCCCTCCCAAAAACTGACTGTTACGGGAGGAATGAGATGGAGGTGGGGACAAGAGGGGATGGAGGGTTAAGCTGAAAGGCTAATACATTTGTCTTCTGCTGAACAAATTGCACCGAAAACGTATCTGTGCAGCCAACACACTGTGTCCGATAATTGACTCAGCCACTGAATCCCTGACGTAGTCATAAACACAGTGGGCCATGTGGCTGTTACGATGCTCATATATATATATTTTTTATTACTTATAACTTAGAATATGAGTATCCTCTAGATATTCTGCCCAACCATGACGAAACATTATGCTGGGAACCACCTTTTCCCTCCTGTCTGCCAACTTAGGCAGTGGCATCGTCATATCGTCATGGTCTGGCGGTGTTTTTAAGGAATATAAATAAGTTAATAGGGCTCGCAGAATCAAATGCAATTATACATGCATTACAGTAACATATCTGGATAAGTAGTTGTCTTGACAGAGGTGTGTGTATGTTCGTTGTTCCATACAAGCACACATTCCATGCAAAACGAGTTAGTTGATGACCTTGAGTTTTAGATTTAGACATTAATTTGAGCTCAGTGGACATTGTAATCTGTTTAGTGGTGCCAGAGGATGCTGGGAGCTGGTATTGCCGTTAAATAACCTGTCCCGTGTTTATGTGTCTTGTCTTCCTAACTGTTTGATCTGCGTATGTTTCCATCCCTGTATTCCTCTGGTAGGTGGAAAATGCGCGGCTCTTGGACCGGTCGTCGGGCCAGAGGAAGGCCAGCACCGGGACTCTGTACCTCTCTGCCACGCACACCATCTTTGTAGAGAACAACCCTGAGACACGCAAGGAGACGTGGGTAAGATGGAATCAGGGTGCAGCACCTGGGAGCCGTGAGCACTACCTATTAACACTTGATCCACGTCACGGTCTAGGTGGTTAAATTAAATCAATTAACATTCATTTAAGAAAATGCACAGTGTATTTCTCTTTATTCACTGCTTGAGAGCTCGGATAGATTTGTCGAAAGTGAATCTTGTCTTTCTTCCTTACTCTGCTGACTATAACTGAAAGTGCAACTGAACAACCTGCTTTCAAATACTCCTTCATCCACGTATCCACCAAGACACAGAACATCTGCCTATTTCTAGATATAGTGGTGAATTTTAATATACAGAACGGAGAGAAAACTACTGCTGTACTTACAGATTTGTAACTGCAGGTGAATGACAATATGAAGACGTGACAGAAATTTGATCTGAAGCATTTGTTTGACTGATTTCACCGTAAGTCATTCTATTTACAGAAATATCAAAAAAAGTTTCTCCAAGCAAGATGTCAAAAAAACTTACTTTAATTATACGAATGAAGATGATCTTTTCACCCTTCTGACTTTTGAACAAAGGCTAGTTAAAGAATTCAGTGTGGGCAACATCAAGCATTGTTTAAAACGTTATGTGGAGCTCAAGATATGCCAATTCAGAAATTGTGTTTATTACTCAGATAGAACATTATCTTCAGCATGAGATCGTCACTCTTGGAAAAATCCGCCAAAGGAAATTTAGAAAATAGAGTACAAATTTGGACATAAAAGTATAAGCAGTTGAGGAAATAAAAAAAAAACAGTAATCACAATGAGACGCTGGCCGCAGCCGCAGCCTCTTTGGCTTTGCAGCTACAAATATGTCATTATACAGCTCTTCCTCTTTGTGTGGAATTGTCATGATGACAAAACACTGGGAAGTTGGCATTCTTTTAGCTTCAGTGTGGTTTGAATCAAGCAGAGTGAACTCTTCCTCTGGCGTGTTCATATTTTTTAATGAAACTCTTCCGACCTTTTCGAAAGAGCTGGTTTTACCTCGTTACTGTTAGGACTGTGTGAGTGCTTTTCAGATCTTCTGCAGGAGGAGGTGGAGGACACTGCCCTGTCCCTCTGGACCTGTCTAGCTGTACCACACATCCAGGGGTGTCAGATTTCACCAAACAGGCACCGGCTGTGTTTACTGGATTAGCAGGAACAAAGAAATCAGATTCCAATTAGCTTGTGTTAAAAAAAAAAAAATAAAAAAATGCTGTTAAAGCAACCGTCTACTTCTCCTTCTTTTTCGTCACCATGCGGCATTAACTTCCTGTCAGAAAAGCCCAAGAGCTTCTCCATAAACTGATGTTGACATGACTTCCTGAATATTTTAGATCATAAGACAGATTACACAAACATGTGTTGACATGTGTTGATACTAGTTTTTTTTTACTGTGCCGATTGCTTTGTATTTTTAAATTTTTATTTTGGATTTATTTGACCAGATTGAGAAGCAATAGTCATTTACAGAGAATACACAGATACAGCTAGTGTAAGAAAACAATATTAGACCAAATTTAAACATCACACACACACATGTGATTGTGTGTGTGTGTGTGTGTGTTTCAGGTGTTGCACAGCATGGTGAGCAGTGTGGAGAGGCCGCCCACCATCCCCGCTGGAAGTCAGCTGATCCTGCATTGTAAAGACTTCCGCGTCTTCCAGATCCTCATTCCGCACGAGAGAGACTGTTTGGACATCCACACCTCATTGGTCAGGTTGTCTCGACCAGGTGAGTGTGTGTGTGTGTGTGTGTGTGTGTAAGTATGTTATGCACATATATAAAATACTGACTGAAAACGGTTTCCCTCTCCTCTCTTAGAGAAGTACAGTGAGCTGTACTGCCTGTCTTTTAATCCTAATGTCAACAAAGAGGAGAGAGAAGAGTCGTGGAACTTCCTGGACCTCATGGGCGACTACAAGAGGATGGGAGTTCCTAATAACCTGTGGGTCGCTACGGCGGCCAACAGCGAATACAGGGTCAGTCTCATTGTGACATGTGCATAAGGTGAAGAAATAAAATAAACAGGACAACCAGTCAGGTGGGGAGTTTTAAGTAAAATAAATAAGTTGCTTCTTGCATAAAATGGGTCTGGAGGGATCTACCTCTACTAAAGCCATTACTCTACTATACTCACATAGTCTGTTGCTGTCTGTCTGTTTCTCTTGTTAAGTGCAGTGAAAATGCCTTGCACTCAGGACATTTACAAGGCAATATGTAAGATAGTACAAGCCTCACGGACTGCTTATCAACAGCTTAAACATGCGGAGCATACAGCAGTCATCTCAAAGCGAGACCAGCTTCTTAACTCACATTTTTAGGCCCTTTTTAATTCTGGCTCCAGACTTACTGTATGTCATTATATTCTTGATGCTGAATATATGGTGCATTTTAACAGTCTTTGGAGTTTTTAATACTTACTTGGATATTCAGTGAGGTTATTTTCAGCAGCTGGCTAACTTAGTTTAGCATAAAGTCTGGACGTCTATAGTCCAGCATGTAACCCTTTTGTTAATCTACAACATGTTAATTACTGAGCTTTAGATGTGCTGGTACCTTTTGGACATAACTAATCTGTTGACAGTCTTTGTGCGAAGCTGGCTGCTGGCAGTAGCTTAATATTTAGCCTGGAGACATGAGAATGGTGTTGATATTCTCTTTAACTCTCAGCAAGAAAGCCAAGGGGCATATTTCCCGAAATCTTGAACTTTTCCTATTATATTCATTTCCAGCTTTCTATTTTTATTCTGGGACTCCACTACAGTAGCTTTGCATGATTCACAGTACAAATCATTACTCATCTTATACCGGCCCTGTATGCAGCCTCTCGGTTCAACAGTTTAGCCCCTGTCTCTTTAAGGCCCCTTCCCACTTTCTTCTGATTTGACAACTTCCAGACGTATACAGCACTCAGCGCCTGTGAAAATGGTCACATGGTGCACTGAATTTGATAAATTTACTGTTTATCAGACCACACCAGAGATGGTCACAAGTCTCTGAGCTAGAGTCCAAGTAAAGTCACAAGTCTCTGAGCCAGAGTCCAAGTCTCTGAGCCAGAGTCCAAGTCTCTGAGCTAGAGTCCAAGTCTCTGAGCTAGAGTCCAAGTCAAGTCTCAGAGCTAGAGTCCAAGTCAAGTCTCAAGTCTCTGAGCTAGAGTCCAAGTCAAGTCTCAGAGCTAGAGTCCAAGTCAAGTCTCAAGTCTCTGAGCTAGAGTCCAAGTAAAGTCACAAGTCTCTGAGCTAGAGTCCAAGTCTCTGAGCTAGAGTCCAAGGCTCTGAGCCAGAGTCCAAGTCAAGTCTCAAGTCTCTGAGCTAGAGTCCAAGTCAAGTCTCAGAGCTAGAGTCCAAGTCAAGTCTCAAGTCTCTGAGCTAGAGTCCAAGTCAAGTCTCAGAGCTAGAGTCCAAGTCAAGTCTCAAGTCTCTGAGCTAGAGTCCAAGTCAAGTCTCAGAGCTAGAGTCCAAGTCAAGTCTCAAGTCTCTGAGCTAGAGTCCAAGTCAAGTCTCAGAGCTAGAGTCCAAGTCAAGTCTCAAGTCTCTGAGCTAGAGTCCAAGTCAAGTCTCAAGTCTCTGAGCTAGAGTCCAAGTCAAGTCTCAAGTCTCTGAGCTAGAGTCCAAGTAAAGTCACAAGTCTCTGAGCTAGAAACCAAGTCTCTGAGCCAGAGTCCAAGTCTCTGAGCTAGAGTCCAAGTCTCTGAGCCAGAGTCCAAGTCAAGTCTCAAGTCTCTGAGCTAGAGTCCAAGTCAAGTCTCAGAGCTAGAGTCCAAGTCAAGTCTCAAGTCTCTGAGCTAGAGTCCAAGTCAAGTCTCAGAGCTAGAGTCCAAGTCAAGTCTCAAGTCTCTGAGCTAGAGTCCAAGTCAAGTCTCAGAGCTAGAGTCCAAGTCAAGTCTCAAGTCTCTGAGCTAGAGTCCAAGTCAAGTCTCAAGTCTCTGAGCTAGAGTCCAAGTCAAGTCTCAAGTCTCTGAGCTAGAGTCCAAGTCAAGTCTCAAGTCTCGTGTGGATATAATGAATGTTGTATCACCTGCTGCGTTCAATCCAGGCTGCAAATTCTGTAACTGTAACCTGTTTTTCACTTACAGAGCCATCTAATGTGCAATGCAACTAATCACAGCTTATTAACTACTGTAAGTCAACACATTCCCCAGACTTTCAAACCAGTGTAAAGTTATAACCAAATGAAACTGTAATGTTACATGATCAACAATAAACCAGTAACCTATTTGCAGCCAACGGTAATAATTAACGTGATGGCAGTAAACAAACGCTCATTCATCTTTTCATAACAGTTGGAGTAAACCTCCCATAGGTCAAAGCTGAAGCAAGAAGCAAGCTAATGTTAGATGGCCAATTCTGTGCTAAACATGTTACTATTTTGCGTTCAGCGCTTCTTTGTTTTGCGCCTTGTTGAATGAAGTTTTAAAGCCAAAGTTTATGATGAATTGCTCAGCAGCAGTGTGGCTGCGCGCAGCAGATGCTACGTGTTACGTATGCAGGTTGTAGGTAACGCAGGGAGGGGAATAATTACAGCAAGCTCATCAGACCTTTTACTAGTTTAGTCCCGCGCCTCGAGTCTGAGTCGAGTCTGAAGCCTTTAAAGGACGAGTCTCAAGTCCGAATTAAGTTGCACACACAGCCTTCAGGCTTTTAAATACTGCTGACAGCGGCAACTACACCTGTAAACCTGTTATTTATTTATTTATTATCTATTCATTTCCTTGAGTTATGGTCCGTGCACTGCGACCTGTGTATTTGCTGCTTTGCTCTGGTGCCCACATGCTTTTATGTTGTCACTGACGGGGCTTTTGAATGTTTGATTTGATTGTAGTTGTTTTTGTCTTGTTTGATACGACCGGCAGACTGAATTGCCCTGCAGGGATAAATAAACTTATTTCGATTGAACTGAATTAAATTAGGTTGGAAAAACATTAAACATCAGAGTGACTATTCTAAGAACGTACAGTAAAGACTTTATTAATGCATTTGGCAGGCAATATTCTGCTTTTTCACTATTGTTAACAACTTTATCCTTATACTGGATTTTACTCTCATCTGCAGGAAATCGTCTCATACAGGAACATGGGACAATAACCGCTTCATCAACTGTAAACTAATGTGTATCTAACTTGGCGTCACTGATGTTAAAGTGTGTGTGTGTGTGTGTGTGTGTGTGTGTGTGTGTGTGTGTGTGTGTCCTCTCCCAGGTGTGTGATACGTACCCATCAGAGCTGTTTGTTCCAAAGTCGGCCACACCCGCCGTCATCGTGGGCAGCTCAAGGTTCAGGAGTAGAGGACGATTTCCTGTTCTGTCCTACTTCCACCAGGACACACTGGTCAGTGTGACACACAAGCGCGAACACACACACACACACACACACACACACAGAGGAGGAAGTATATCAGTATAAGTTAACTTGTCCTTTAGTGTGGAAAGTCCAGTTGCCCTTGACCTCAACCTTCGTTGGATAACTATGACCTGGATGACTGAGAACCTTCACAGACGTTTTTTGACTTCTACTGAAGCAAAAAGAGAGAATCTGTAGTAAAAAATGTGTAAAGAGATGATGATGATGCTTCATTGTCATGCAGGCAGCGGTGTGTCGGTGTAGTCAGCCACTGTCAGGCTTCAGTGGACGCTGTCAGGAGGATGAGATGATGCTGCTGGCTATAATGAAGTCCAACCCAGGTAGTGACTACATCTATGTGGTGGACACCCGGCCCAAGGTAACACACACACGTCCTCACTCACACATCCAAGGATAGTCACAGTAACTGACACAAATAAACAATGAGCTATACTGTTCTTATTTACAGTAATATGTGTGTGTGTGTGTGTGTGTGTGTCCAGCTGAATGCCATGGCAAATCGAGCAGCAGGTAAAGGCTATGAGAATGAGGACCACTACACCAACATCAAGCTGCAGTTCATTGGTGTCGAAAACATTCACGTAATGAGGAACAGCCAGCAGAAAATCATCGACGGTAAGAGAAGCTGTAAAAGTTGTCACATATACTTCGTCTGATAGCATCTTATGCTGTTTTCCTGTGTGTGTGCGTGTGTGTAAACTTCCTCTCTCTCTCTCTCTTCCATGCAGTTGGCGAGATGAGATCTCCGTCCATGACTGACTTCCTGTGGGGTCTGGAGAACTCTGGCTGGCTCAAACACATTAAAGCCATACTGGATGCCGGGGTCTTCATAGCCAGGGTGTGTTCTGCTTCTCCAGCAATGGGCCGGAAATACACTGCGGGGCCGTTTTTAGATTTGAAAATGGATAATTAAATATCTATGGAAAATATTCTTGCAGATTAGGTTAGATTGAACTTTATTGTTATTATGCAGAGCAGTTAACGTCTAACTAGGGCTTATACAGATAAGTGCAGGAAGTAAGTACTGCAGCGTAACTTACGCTGTATCGTACTGTTTTTGATTTATCTATTAATAGTTTAGTCCACAAAAAATAATAAAAAGTCACAAATTTCCCAGAGACAAAACTGAACTTTTCTTATTGCTTGTTTGTGTGATCAACAGTACAAAACTCAAACATATTCAGTTTGCATTTATATAAAAAGCAGCTACTTAATATTTAAGAAGCTGGAACCAGAGAATATTTGACATTTTTGCTTCATAAATAACTGATTATCAAAATAGTTGTTGCAAAGGAAATTCAGGAAATTGGCCCAAATGGGAATATGATCAGTATGTTAAATGCTTTAGAACTTTAGAAAAGACACCGGAAAGGGAAATTGTGTTAATTAACATCTGCTTTGTGCTGCTGCTGCCACATTTTTGTTTGGACATCAGCACACAGTTGTGGTCCCAACCTCAAAAATCCACAGACAGTCCACCAGCAAAATATTTAGAACCTGGTTCAACTTGTATTTTCAAAGACGCTACACGGGCTGATCAGATGTGTCTGGTAGATTACTCTGTAACAAGAATGCCGTCGTGTGAACCTCACAATCGTTGCTCTCAAATATAAATTGGGGGGCGCAGTGATAACTTCCCAGAGCAGTGAAATGCTTCCTCATAATATTAGAAACTAATGTTCTGGGTTTTGCAGAACATTTTGGAGAACATTCAAGCTGACGTATTTTTTGACCCCCCTTCAGGCAGTTGCTGATGAAGGTATCAGTGTGTTAGTCCACTGTTCAGATGGCTGGGACAGGACGGCCCAGGCCTGCTCTGTCGCCAGTATACTGTTGGACCCATTCTACAGAACCATCAAAGGATTCATGGTAACACACAGTGTTGACAATCTCTTATTCTAAGACCTTCTAAGTTCTTGTCTCTGATTTGATCACACTGCTGCTCCCTCTCGTCTTTGTCCTGACCTCCTTCCTATTTTCACCTCCCCCCCCCCCTCTCTTCTAGGTTCTGATAGAGAAAGACTGGGTTTCCTTTGGACACAAGTTCTCCCACAGGTCAGGATCTGTGTCTAACTCCAGCTGTGTCTGCAGAGCTACGTCATTACAATCATTTGGTGGATTTTATTTTGTAAGGCAAAAAGTTCAGAATTAATATTCTACAGGTGTTTGTTAATCCACATTAACAAATGTTTTTATACCGGTGTGTGAATGGGTTTGCAGTTTAATGTGTTCCACAGCACTCATTCCATCAGTACAACAACAACAACAACAACATGTTATAATCACCACATTGCTGCGTTTAGTTATTCCTATTACATCCACCTATTGATGTCAGTTGTTCCACATTTCCAGTTTTACCAATCAATGCTCACATTATAGTCATTTTACCTATCTGGTGCACCGCTGCCTCAACCTATTACTTTGTGATAATGTCTAACTTTGGTGTTTATAACCCTTTGAAACACCAAAGTCACACCTTAACACAAACAAAGTAACACAAACAAACTAACCAGCCAGGGCAGCGGTAGACCAGCGTTCTGCAAGGTTAAGTTACCGTTTACATCAGTGGAATCTGGTGGCTTTGACGAGAGCGACATATCTCCTGTTTCTGGTTAAACAAACCTTTTAAATCTTTTTAAAAAAAGGTCTGTATCTGTAGGGATCCCTTCCACAGTGTTGTCACATACTTGTGAAAACAATCTGAGCCTGTCAGAGACAAAAACAAGCACTTTAGCGGACGTACTTTAACGGCAATTACAATTGGATTACGTTGCAGCCCTGTTAAAAGAAATGCACACACAAAACTCCCTTCTGGTTAACAGAAGAACTTCTGAACTTAAACATGGGTTAATATCTTCAGAAATGTGGATATCAATCAAAGAGTCTTAAGATCAGTTATGTTTCTGATGTGGGTCTGGTAGCAACACACAACAGGCCGATCCAGTAAGATTGAAAGCCACGTGCATACCATCTTCCTCTGCAAATATTAGATATAGTACCATTTCATGTTTCAAAAATGACCTCACATGATGATCAGTTCCAGCTAGGGCCAAGAGGCTTTTTTTTTAGTCTAGAGATGATACACCTGCTTCCCAAAATTCGAGATGAGAAGGAGGCAAGATGGATCACTTGTTAACCAACTCCATCATCAGCTCCAGGGGGGGGGGGAAACGATGTGAACCCCGGCTTCCCACAACTTTCTGTAGCTTCTGACGTAACTAGGATATCTGTAAAGTTTAAGATTCTGACCAGTTAAAACCTGATGTCTCCAAAGGACCATGTAGATGTCTTGAATTAAAGTAGAATTATGACAAATCTGTAAATATGTACAAATCTGAAACTGCAATTGCAACTAGTCATAATTGAGTTGAATAGTTAGAGTTATAAACCTTTGTTGAATTACTCATGAAATTATAGCAGGTTGTAAAGAGAAATATCCATTCAGAGTTCGCAGAGCTTAAAGCAATGACTTCATAATACTATTATTCATTTAATGAAGAAGCAACAAATCCTAACATTTCTGACACTGTGCCCACTGCTAATAGGTTATTTTCCTTTCAGCACAGATGCAGTAAAATTTTTCTCTAGATATATTTTAGACTGTTTTATCTGTATGTACGTCCTTTCTAAATTGTATTAATCGCACAAAGAAATGTATATAATTAGATATTTGCAGCGGTGTGATGGACAGTTAAGATGGAGCTGTGTCCCCGTGTAGGTATGGCCACCTGGATGGAGATCCTAAAGAAGTGTCTCCTGTCATTGATCAGTTCCTGGAGTGTGTGTGGCAGCTGTCCGAGCAGCTCCCATGTGCCTTTGAGTTCAATGAACGCTTCCTCATCACTATACACACGCACGTCTACTCCTGTCAGTATGGCACCTTCCTGGGAAACTGCCAGAAGGAAAGCAGAGATATGAGGTAGGACTGAGACAAACTCACACAGTGTGTAAGCACTGGATTGTCTGAGGAGACTGTTGAGTCAAAGGCGTTTGGCTGCTTATGTAGTTCCACTGTCAGAAATAAGCACATGGAGCATAGTTTTAATTCCAAATGGAAAAAGGTTAAATTGAATGTATTAAGTATTTTTTTTTTTTACAGCTATATGTTTTTGACATATTGACTCTGGAAAGGGATTTTAGATTTATTATCTCTGGCTGGAAATAATGTGTCTAAAATTCCTTTCCAGAGTCAAATATTTACAGATCTGTCTGTTTTATTTAAATTTTATATTTCTTGACACATATTTTATTGTTTATCTCGTCAGCTAACTTTGTTGTTTTTTTGTTTGTCACGGTTAATTTATAACAATAAAAAGCCAAGGCATCACATCTACGGCCCTCACCTCTAACGTTTCCTGTTCCACTGCAGTTGAAGTAGAAATACATACAGATAACAGCTCTGTGTTACTCCTTTTTTCTTTAATAACGCAGGACAATAACATCCTTATGATCCATGAATGTTGGTGGCCCATTTGGCGTCAGAGACACCTGAATTAATTCTGTCATATGGAACTGGATGACTGCAGTAGCTTTGAAATCCTTTTCATTTTGGCAAATAGGATAAAGAGGAGCTAACAAGGTGCTGACCCTCACGGTGATTTAGTATATATTCATGTAAAAATATTGGATCTTATGTCTCTGTTAGCTCCCGCTCTGATAAACCAACTGTGTATTTGAAAAGGATTTTTATGAACCTTGAGCCATCCATCGTGCGTGTTTGTAATGGTGAATACACTGAGAAGATATTCAGTACCATGATTTCAGTTTGGCAGACGAGTGAGGGCCGTGTGATTCATACAGCCGTTAAAAGCTACAGAATGAATACCTAGAAAACCAGCGCTTGTCTCTCCAGCATCATAAAGTTGCTGACTGCACTGCCATTGGCGTGTGCGTGTTGTTTGACCTCAGGTTTCGTGAGCGGAGTCACTCGGTGTGGCCACAGCTGTGGAAGGACAGAGCCGAGTACACCAACCCTCTGTACAAGGCGGATCTGAGCCAGAGTCAGGGGGTCCTGAGACCCAACACCACCCCCTACTGCTTCAAGTGAGTCACTGCAGCAAAGACACCACGTGACTGTATTCTGCCACAGAAAGCTGGACGGTTCTTGGTTCAGACGTGTATGGTAAATTTCCGGTGGTGCATATGGCTAAAATTTGTCTTTAAATTTGTGTTTGGTCAAAGGGTCATGGCAAGAAAATGTTTGAGGACTACTTTTGCATTTTCTCACAATACTTCCCCCCCCCCCCCAATCCCAAACATTTTAATTCCTGTATTTTCTCCCTCTCCCTCCTTTTTTTCAGAATGTGGAAGGGTCTCTATAACCACATGGAGAAACTAACGCCTCCTCGCCAGTCACCTGCCGACTTCCTGTGCGCCGTGAGGGAGGAGTCCCAGCAGCTGGAGAAGGAGCTCACCAATCACCAGGAGGTACCGCCAGGAGGAACCGTCCACCACCACCACCAACCGGGCTCCAGACAAGGCATACAACACACAGACACCCCCGTTACCACACCACCACCACCCAATTCAGCATCCCTCGCTCCAAAATGAATCTGAGAATCTCTCTGAGGAGGAGTTTAAATGAGATGTGAATGTTTTCCCCTTTAGACGCAGCACTTGAAAAAAGAACTGCGAGTTAGCGCTCTGAATGGAGAAGCAGGCCTGTTTTTTTTTAAAACAACTACTACTGTTTGCAGGGATGTGATTTTTTTTCCAGGGGGGTATATCTACACCACAGGGGGTTGGTAAAATCCATCCCTTCCTTTTAGCCTAAGGCCATCACCTCTCAGCATCTCAGATATCAGAATCAGGAGGAGCTTAATTGCCAAGTAGTGTTTTACACATAGGAGGAATTTGCTGTGGTGATAAGGTGCTACACGTAGACAAACATACAGATAAATACATGTACATTATTCTGGGTCTGTGCCGTGCAGAAGTAACGCAACGTGTACATCTCAGTGATATGGCGGCTGATTTGGTATCTCAGTCAGTGCTTGGTGCTCCTGACGAGGTCTTTTTGATAACATCCAGCCTTGTTGATGATGTTACAGTCCAGCTGAGGTACCCTGCAGCGGGGGGGGGGGTTCGGCCAGATCTTTGTTCTGAGTACATCTCATCCCTACGGCCTTCGACTTACCAATGGCAAGGCCGGTTACCTGGTCCTAGTCTGTGTGGTGGGGGTTCCTACCTGAGGGTAGACCAATAGAGAAACCCGTACTCATAGAACTGGAATTACATCTAGGTAATTACTATTTGTACAGTTGTTGGCAGCCATTAGCCGCCAGCTAATGACACGGGTGTGCTGCTAGGAAATAACGTATTTGTGTATAGATTTTGTTTGTTTTGTTTGTCTCTTTGAATGGCTACCTCTCATCATCTGCTGATGGTAGAAAGTCTCGTTATTTTGGAAGCCAATATACACTTACAACGCTGCAGTTAGAAGAGACCGAAACCACGACACTGAAGTCCACCGTCTCGTGTGTCTTAATTTAAGAAGTGGTATTCTGCTCATTTTTACGGGTTGTACCAAAACGGGTTTAGATGGTTTAATTTTCAAAAAACACCATATTTTTTGTCATACTGCACATTACTGCAGCTCCTCTTTTCACCCTGTGTTGAAGGCTTTGTTTTAGCTGTGGAGTGATACATCTTGTCTCTAAATGATCTTTGTTGGGAGTTGCACATGTGCAGTTCCTAGCAAAGGACTACTAGCCAATCAGTTTTCTGTGGGAGATGGGAACTCCCTTTGGCCTGGACTTTGGGCTTTTTAACTTTGCAAACCTGTTACATGCACAAAAAAGATATATAACTCAATAAAGGAGAGGGGGAAAAGCCAAAAACCATAATACCACCTCTTTAAAGACACTCCAGCACTGATTATCTGGCTAATGACTTTTATTGATCCCCAGAGGGGAAATTTGGTCGTTGCAGCAGCACAAGGCCTGAAAATATGTACAGATAAATAGGGAAAATAAATATAAAATTGTGCAAATATTTTTGGCCTTTTTAACCAAAGCATAACATCGTAGGTCAAGTTTGAATGAGAATTTTAGTTTACACAACAGATAAATGTCAGATAATCCCAGTGAGAGTGACTGAGTTCTGTCTCTAATCACTGGTGTCCAACTGAAGTTCAACCATCCACATTTCCCACCTCCTAACCCGCTCATAGTGAGAGGAGAGTTTGTTCCCATTGCTGATAAATGAATGGAAATCAAATGAAGTGTATTTCTTGTTGATCTGTCCTCTGTGCAGAGGATAGCAGCCCTGACAGGGAAACCAATCACGTGGGAGAAGATCAAAGTTCCGAGGAGGAGGATGATTAGCCACCTGCGGCAGAGACACTGCGGGCCGGACCCGCCCAGCACTTACACAAACCCATTCGCCAGCCCTGCATCGGTCAACGGTGATGCACTCTCCTCTGAACCAGTCACTCAGAAGGCTCAGACCAAGGACGCCACTCTCACCCTGTCTCTAGGACTTTACTCTCATCCCAAGAGTCACAACCCCGACGACTTCTCCACCTGCAGCGACCTAGAGTCGGGCGTGGCTGACCTCAGCAGCCGCTCATCCAGCAGCGGAGAGAACGGCAAGGACCCCTACATAGATGAGGCTGCCTTTACTACTGCCTGACTGGAAAAAAGAAACCCTTGCTGAGGTGAAAGAGGAAATTATTGTTCTTATAGTAGATCTACAAAAATATTTATTCAGACACCCGGAGCGGGGGGGGGGGGCTGCTGGTTGGACGTTGTCTCTTGCTTTCTAGGAGATAACTGCAGCTTGTCTCATTCCTTTTTGGTCTAAAGGGAGAAACCTCACTGGCTGTTTACCAGTTCACCTTTTTGACAAAGGCACTGGAAGAAGCAAAAAGTAATTTGACTTATTATTTTTTTGCAGAGGGCCAGAGAGGCAGTGTTTGTTTTTGTTTTTTATACATGGATGCTGTTTTTAGGTGGGCTCAGTTACTGTCATTTGTATTTTGTTTAAGGAATGCACTATTACTACTGTGTGATGGACAAATGATACATGGATCCAGCCTGAAATAATGCACGATGCAGGCTCGAAGAGGGCAGTGAAAATATCTGAGGAAACACTTGCATTTACAGAGAGTAGAACAAACACACTCACTAAACTAGCTTTCCATATTTATCATCAAACACTTCTTCTCTTCAAGCAAAGCTAAAAATACAAAATCATGGAAGATTTACCAACATTATTTATTTACCTCCAGTCTTCCTTCAGTGTGAATGCATTATGATACTAGTAATAATTTAGTTTTCTCCCAAGGTATTTCTTTGTAGGTCCAGCAGATATCATACTAAATCCACCTTTTCATGTCTTCTCAACCTAAATATGTGTCCCCAGTGTGACTAAAGACCCCCAAACCTTTCTCTTTTTCTCCTGCTCAGTCTTTCAGTAAATATCAATGCAAACACGATGTTTAAATTTGGAGAAAGTGGGCTTTTAGGGAGGCGGGCCATTAAAGCAACAACATTAAAGCATGCAGATATTTTCTTGTAGAAACCCAAAATAAAAACATGAACCTGAAAATGAGCATAATATGGGACCATTAACTTTAGACACACTGGAAGCAGCAGACATGATCTATTAAATTAATTGAGTTGTGTTTGAGGGTTTTTAGATGTGGACAGTCTTCAGCCTGATCAAGCTGGAGAGTTGCTGCTAGGTAAAATGTCAAATCTTGTGTAATTATGTAGAATAAACACTGGGAGGCCAAAGAGCGACAGCCATCTGCTTCATGTCTACATGCGCATGCCCAGTTCACCTGAACGGGTCCTAGCTGTGCGTTTTCAGTCGTGTTAATGTAGATGGAGATCAACTCAAAAAACGCCGCGGAAACGCTGGTGTGGACGGAGATCGTATTTGTTTTAATTCTCCGTTTGTAAACTAAAACGGAGTAGCGTGGATGGGTCCAAAATCTGCTCAGTCCCTCATGACTTGAACTTAGAAGAAACCTTGTCTTCTGTTGTCAAGTTTTTAACTTCTCTAAAATATCATATCATTCCATAAAGCAAACATTTGCCGCTAAGGGTCAGTATTTAAGTTTTGAGAGTTCAAATAAACTCAGTTCAGATTAGAAACTGGAAGCGAATACGTCACAGATTTACAGTCTAAATGGAGATTTCTTAAAGCACTTTGAACTATTGGTCATTACCAAGAATGGGAATCAGCAAGAACAAAATGTGAACAGAAATATTAATGTTGGAATACAGTATTTTCTTTTGTCCATTTGTGTGCAATATATTTTAAAGCCATTTATTCTATGTTATGTTTCAGTATAACATTCTACAAGGATAATATTTTTCCTCAGACCAATTGAGTCATTCAGATGAGAAAGTTTCAGATGTCATTATATAGACTTTGTTTAACTGACACTAATGAAGCCATTGTTGATGAATAGTCAGTGAACAAAGCTGAATTTTGATCTGCAGACTTCCTGCATTATATAAACTATGTTTGATGTGAACTTCAGAATGTATAGCTTGTGTCCTTTTCAGGTGCTCTGTAACATTTTACATTCACACATTCAACACATTGTTTCATGGTCTCTCCACACTCCAGAGGTACAGCTCTGTGTAAGTGCATTCCATGTTTTAACAAGCATATACAGTGTTTGGTTGTATGGCATCTTAAGAGTATTGGTGCACAGTATGTTAAAACACATGTTAACTGAGTAGTGCATCTTTAAGCTACACTGAACAAAATTTATAACGGCAACACTTTTATTTTTGCCCACATTCGTCATGTGCTGAACTCAAAGATCTAAGACTTTCTCTATGTTCACAAAAGCACCGTCTGAGGGAAGCTCATCTGCATGCTCGTCGTCCTCATCGGGGTCTCCACCTGACGGCAACTTCGCACAGCCATTGAAGAGGAGGCTGCAATCAACAACCTGATCAGCTCTATGCGAAGGAGATGTGTTGCACTGCCTGAGGCAAATGGTGGTCATGCCAGATACTGACTGGTTTCCAGACCCTCCTGGATCCCCCCCAATACAGTGAAACTGCAACTTTTAGAGTGGCCTTTTATTGTGGCCAGCCTAAGGCCTTTTATTGTGGCCAGCCTAAGGCACACCTGTGCAATCCCCATGCTGTCTGATATGCCACACCTGTGAGGTGGGTGGATTATCTCGGCAAAGGGGAAGTGCTCACTAACACAGATTTTGACAGATTTGTGAACAGTATTTAAGAGAAATAGGCCTTTTGTGCACAGAGAGAAAGTCTCAGATCTTTGAGTTCAGCTCATGATGAATGAGGGCAAAAACAAAAGGGTTGCGTTTATAATTTTGGTCAGTATACTAACAGTTGGTGTGTTCACTGCTGAGCAGTGATGGGCAGAAGTGGGGCTGAAGAGAGATGGTGACCAAATATTTCAGCAAAAATACTATTATGTAGCCCAATTTTTAACCATGGATTTGAACCGCATGTCTTGGAAATCATATATGTACTGGACATTCTCACAACCAAATTAAGAAAAAGAAACCATTTTGCCCTCTTTCACTTGGGATATTTGGAAGTTTCTCTGTTTAAATCTATGGAGCAGTTTGTCTTATACAGTTGCATCAAATTGGGTAAAAAACACAATATCCAATGTCCCTGGCAGCTGTGCCAACATGTAGATATAAGAACGTGATGAACAGCACCCAGTGTGCTGTGTGTGACAACACTGACTGAATCTAATGAGCGAAAAGTCTCCTCTCCTTAACTTGTAGATGTCACTGTAGTCTGTGGTGTGTGTGTGTGTTTTCTGTATCCATGGATGTAAATGATCTATCAATAAATTAACTGTTAAAGGGAAAGAACTGCTAAATACTGGGTCTGACATATTCTTCAACATGACGTGAAAAACATAAAAAAGCTGCTTCCAATACCAAAATTGTTAGAACACTACCTACTGTTTTATTTGTTCGTGACGTATAATAATAATTGTTTGCCTATTGAAAGCTGTGGAGCAATTTGGCTTCAACACCGTTTCTTTTTTTGTTCACACAACAGTTAATTTAACATAAAAAAAAAAAATGGACTAGTGCAACCAAAACGTTACGTTAACTGTACCAGAAAACTGACATAAGCATCACGACACAATGACCTAAAAAACACTTAACGGGTATCATCGCATGTATCACCCTCACTGTCTTTTTATTTATTGCAAAGAATGTATTACCTTACAGTAACATCAGAGCTGCATCTGCTATCTGCTTCAGTAGGCTTTATTTGTTTGCATAGAGTAATTCCAAGTGAACAAAATGAAACTAAAGTAATTCCAGCAATGCAATACAAAACTACACGTCCATTGTAGGCTACATTCTTGTGCAGGATAGCCACAGAAATAGAAATACAGGGCTAAACTCTGTCTTCTGTATTTAGTTGTCATACACATCACACCTTACGTCCTCTCTTGCAACCTGCAAAATATCATCTTTGCATGGCTGATCCATCTTCTGCAGATACATATGTCCTTACATCCAGCACTCAATCACATCCAGGACAGACATCTGATCATGAGGCTGGTGATCAGGGGCGCGGGACAGGGTGGAGGAGGGGGGCTGTGTATACAGAGATATTGGAATGAATCCCTGTGGATGTGGGGAAGGGCTCACAAAGACTGTGTGTGTACAGGTATAACCTTTCCCTCTCCGTGCAGAAACAAATTTCTGGATGAGGCTGAAGAATGCAGAGTAAGTACAATTATTATTACTTGTCCTATTATTACTTTCATATAATTGTCAGTTGATTCTTAATTTTCTTTACCACTAGTACTTTTACTGTTTATGGCAAACTGCAAAGTTACAGTTTTTACAAGAGTATGTAAATGTGTACATATGACAGACTTCTGGTGGTGGTTTCGTTTGAGTGAGAAGGTGGTTTGTGAATTTTGAAAGATGCTGTTACTGAATGCATTTAGTGTCCAAGCAAATATATTATCAACTCCCATCAATATTAGCCTCACAAAATCCAGTATCAGTGGGGCTCTACTTTATAACTATTATTCTAAGTTATACTTTTCAGCATGTATACTTTAACATCTAGGAGACAAATCTGATATCACGCAGCCAGTAATTATTGTTATTGAGTATTATTGGTTCCAGTTTGTTCAGATAGAGCAGGGCAGTGATAGTAAACATTGCTGAACAAATACAGGAGTAAAACCTGCGAAGACTTTAATATAAAATCCAAAGAAAAAGACGTCACAGCTCCGGCCACAACATTTGACTGACACATTTGCTCTTGGAGAAAAAAGCAGCATTCAGGTCTGTCTGTTACACTAACAGTGACATCCTTTTCACAGAGTACGGTCTAGACCTGCTCTTCTATGAAAAGCGCTCTGAGATAACTGTTTGGCACTATATAAATAAAACTGAATTGAATGTGACCTTGATGCTTCCTCAAACCGTAGAACACAACAAAATCACTACGGGTCAGTTTTGTTAAAAGCTGATTTAGAAACAGGTGGGATTGACATGCAGTACATGGAATGACACATCCAAGCAAGTTCAAGTTCATAAACAAACAGATTTCAAGCCGAATCTTGTTTTCACAATCAAAAACATGATTGGTCCGAATTACATACACAAAAACGACACTGCATTAGTCTGCAAATGGAAAAATGTTGCGGATGACAACATTTGGTCATCACCGTGGTGGTTTTGTGTAAACCATGAAGTAATGGTGAAAACAACAAACCAGAATCCCATTAAAAAATGTAACCAATCATTTTTAAACCTACTTTTATTATCACACATTTAAAGCCATGTCTGCTCTAAAATACCCAGAAAACCGTCCTCTCATTTGTCAGCGACTCTTCCCCCAATGTCCTTACATTACTGTCGAAAACACCATGAAACTGGTTATTTCTGCGTTAACTTCATTACCTTTGTAATTAAACCTCAAGGTTAGATCTTGGCAAAAAGAAGAAGACCTCTAATTAGAGGTCTCCGTCTTACAGGAACACACAGTAACGCGATCTCTCTCATGAGAGGAAAAGCTGCTGACAAAGCTGCCGAGTTTCCTCTGGACAGGAGACTTCATGGCCGACGGTCCGAGGGTCAGAGTAGATCTCATAGTCGTTTCCTCCCTGTAACAAAAATCCGCCACAGACACAGAGGTTAGTTTAGCTAGACTGTGATGTTCTAAATCATCATTACTAAGGTCAAGCTCATGCACAATTAACCCTGCTGCCTGGGTGAGTATTACTAATATATAGTTTAGATTTTCTTTCATCTCTGAGAAAACAAGTCCTGAAACAAGCAAACTGGCCAATTTAGACATCTGCAAATAGTGACACTTGGATTATTGTTCACATCAAAAATCTTTTAACACTTCATTCAATAATTTTGCACGCCCAATCTTTCAGTTTTTTATTTGTTAAAAAAGTTTGAAATATCCAATAAATTTCGTTCCACTTCATGATTGTGTCCCACTTGTTGTTGGTTCTTCACAAAAAATTACAGTTTTATATCTTTATGTTTGAAGCCTGCAATGTGGCAAAAGGTCGAAAAGTTCAAGGGGACCGAATACTTTCGCAAGGCACTGTATCTGGCCAGATTGCTTTGATAGCAGAAAAATAAAATATAAATAAATTGATAACGGCTGGTGCTGAAATAGATCTCAGTCATGGCAGCAACAGTTACTCACATAACCACTTCCTCTTAAGTGCCTCTAAATTAAAAGCGCAAGAACGTCTTTTGCGGCGATGCTTCATGTGGAGTTTATCGACAGCTTTTATTTTGAAGAGTTCTGAAGGACAATTCAAAAGAGTCTCTGGCTTGCTTGACACACCTCTGAAAAAGCCATCAGTTAACGTGTGACTGGATTCCCCTGAATTTAAAATAGGTAGAAATAAGTGTCCATAGGTTTATGAATGCGGATCAAACGCTGGAACGCGCACACGAATGGTTTGACTTTGTTCTGGCCCGCCATATAACGGGCTTGGAAAAATTTGGCCTGATGCCAGACTTATTTGCCAACCCCTGCTGTAGGTATGTTGTCAAAAAAATAAAATAAAATAAACATTCGTTGGCTCAATATTCCTGGTGTCATCTCGTTGGATTGTCGTCTGTCAGGACCTTTGACATAATCATTTGCGTTTCACAGCCATCAGCCATCGTGGTGCTGCCCTGCAGTAGTTAGCATACTCACAGGTTTAGTCTTGTCTCCAAAGAAGTGAATGGTTGAGTAGTTGTCCTTCTCAACAATCCCCAGACAGTATCTCTTATCCCAGCCATCAGGAAACACATCAAAGCTGATCTGCCCTCCTACAGAAAAACAAAGACCAAGAGGCAGGACGAGGTGATGTGGAGAATTTACATCACACTGACAAAGTGACCTGGTGTCTCTCACATGTGCTCCCTACAGATTCACCAGACCCGCTTTCACAACACTGTATAATTGTCGTGAATGCAGCTGACTCACCGATTGAAAACGACAATCCTTTTCCTTTAAACTCTTCCTTCAAGACGGACACAAACTTCTCTCTGATTTTCTCTTTCTGTAGGGAGCAAAAAAAAAAACGACACAACAATATCACAGCCCTGCAGATGGCGACATTTTCTGTGCTTTTAAATCCAACACTTGCACAATGTCTTTGCACAATGATTGCTCAAGGTGATTTTTTTAAAATGTAGATTTTGCAAAACATCCGGCTGCTCCACTATGTTCACCAGCTAATCTCGATCTGTGTAAGCTGTTTAGTGCTGAGCCAAAAGTAGGTTCACCAGAGATTTGTAGCTGAAAACAGCAGTGGGTCCGTCAGTACGTGTGGCTTGAGAGTGAATGTGTGTGCGTTACCTGATCTAGCTCGTAGAACTCTTTCCTCTCTTCCTGTGTACAGCTGCGTCCAACAGGGGAGACGTTCAACATGCCGTTACGGAATTCAATGAACGTCCCCCTGTAGAGATTTAGTCTCCATAAGGTTAAACCACATCCTAACTATCAATAATTATTCTACAGCTTCCCAGCACCCAAAATAGTTAACCCAGAAGAAAAATAAATATTAATAATGAGATCATGACTCTGAAATGTCTGTACCTCTTCTTAGGCAGTTTGATCTTGGCCATGTAGTTGAGACAGAAGTTGATGAAATCTTGTAGCAGCTCTTCACCCATATGGTCCTGGATGGACTGACAACAGCAAGCAAAGTGAACTTCCTGGGGCCCGGTCACATGGGTAATGGCATCATCTTAGCATATTTTGTTCGCAGAACCAACATTAGGATGGCAAATCCTCTAAATCCGTCATCTGAAGACACGTTTACAGCCTTAAAAGCGTTCACATAAAAACGAGCGTTCTTGACACTTAAGTCAGTCTCACCTGCACAGAGAGAAACTCTCCATTCCTATAGGCCACAAGACCGTTCTCAGCAAACACGTAGTTCACCTTCTGGATCACTGAACACGTAAACAAACACAAAAACAGACAGTGAAGCAGATTACATACTGGAGAGAGAGCTCTACGGCGGCTGTGGCTCAGGAGGTAGAGCGGGTTGCCTGCTAACCAGAAGTGTCCTTATCTGAGTCCAGACCATTTACTGATCTGCTGTAGAGGTACAGGTGTGTGTGTGTGTCTCTCACCATCATCCCCCAGCTGCTCCTTGATCTTGCTGAGGTCCGACCCTCCAACCACACCGACTCGAACCCGAGTCTTCAACTTTTCAAGGAACTCTGCCATGTCTGGGGTCACACGCTGAGAACACACACAGACCTGCAAGTTACATTTACCGACACGATGGAACCGACTGACAACAGTATTGATCGGAGCCAGACTCAAATATACCGTCCTCATCATTCTTCAACTTTTGCAGAGTGAAAAAGAAAATGTATTGTATATTAAGCATCCTAACTGAAAAAGCACGCCCTCACTTGGGCCTATACCTGTGACAACTAAGTTTGTGTTATTAGTAATAGTACAATGACCTACTTATAACTTGTAACTGTTCTGTTTTATCCCAGTAGTTTTATAGTAATTATATAGTTACAGTGCTTTACAACAAAACATAAAATAAAAGCCAATGAGAACCCAAGAAACATTTACGCATCAAATACATTAACCAACTTCAAATAAATACGCACAGTTTTTTTGAAGGCCGTTCCAAGTGAGGGCAGCAGAGCACTTTACAGTTTTCTTTCCCAGTTCTGTCCGTACAGCAGGAGCAGACAACAAGACCAGATCACGTGATCTCAACTGACACGTCAGTTAAGAAAACGCCATAAAAAGTGAGTCTTAAGAAGAGATTTAAAAACTAGGATGAGGAGTTTGCCTGCCTCAGCCGGAGGATCTCGAGCAGCGATCAGGCTCACAGAGAGCAGATCACAGACAAGAGGTCGGAGCCTGGCTTTAAAAACAAACAGTAAAACCTTAAAATAAATTCAAATTCTCCCACGTAACCAGTGATTTATTATTTAGTATATTATTATAAGTGGTAGTAGAAATACTTTAGACCTGGGGTTCTGAAAGCCTGTGTTAAGGGTCACAAACCATCTAATCTAAACCAAATATTCTATCACTCACACACACTGAGAGAAATAGACAGATTTTCAGTTAGATACTTTTAAAAATGTGAGCTTACCAAATAATATCAGGCTATAAGCATCAGATAGTATTGTTTGCTTTTGTGGCAGACAAAATAATTAGCTTTTTTTGTATTATTTTGATTTTGTGCAGCGCAGCATAAGTCGGCCCCGGTCACTGGTCTCTAAACTATGTTATCACTGTTTATAAATGTAAACCAAACCCACATTTAAAAACTAAAAAAAGGTTCACAAAATGAATTTCTGATGCACACTCATTGTATTTAAAAGTATTAGTAATTTTTACCAGAAACATATTTGGAAGTTTGGAAGTTACATACAAACTCGTGAACACTGCATCAGTGTGTGGGTGTTTCTGCCATTAACAAATCAGGGCATTGCCAATCCGGCAAACATCATTATGCTCCAAAAAAACAGTTGGTGTGTGCAAATTTGAGCAGAGGAAATGCATGCACGCATGTGTAGAAGATGCAGTATGTATAACAGGAAGCTGCGACAAATCAAGAGGATGTTGATAATGATGCTGACCTGTTGGGAGTATATTCAGTAAACACTGTATGCACAGCAAATCACTGTCGATGCAAACTACCGCTGACTGCCTTTTCCTGTGTTAAAAAGTGTTTGTGGATGTTACACATGAGCAAAAGACAGAGCACTTGGGACACATTGTGAACAGTGAAGGGCTCCATCCCACAGAGGGGAAGTTAGAGGCCATCGTTAATGTCCCACCAACGTTTCAGAACTCCTTCCTTGGACTGCATGACTATTTTGGCTGATTTATGACAAATCTGTCCACTCAGCTGCAACCCTTGCATGTCCTGCTAAAGAGGGACAGTCCTTGGAAGTGGACATCTGAATGTGAGGAAACATTCAAAATGCTATAAAGCAGCCGCTACAGAGCGCAGCAGTCGTTCACTATGATACCAGGAAGTGACTGAGGCTGGCCTGCAAAGCATCTCCTTAAGGAGTCTGCGCTGTCATTTGCGCTGTCATGTGATGGAGAACAGTGAGGAAAAGTCCGTAGCATTTCTCACACTTTGACAGAGGCAGAGAGCCAACACGCCCAAATAGAGAATAAGCAAGCCCTCTCTATCATTTTTGTTTTAGAAAGTTTTACAAATCTCTCTACAGGGGGGAAGTTTACTCCCATTACTGATCACAGACCACTTTTGACAGTCTTGGGCCCCAAGTCAGCCATTTCCACTTTGGCTGCCTTGAGAATCCAGTGGTGGGCCCTTATTCTGATGGGGTACAACTACGACAAAGACTACTGCAAGTCGTAATGATGTTACCATTAACAGGGCAAGGCTACTGAATGACCTACTTCGAGGTTCCACAACTTTTGCAAAGTATCCAGCTTTGACCACACAGAACAGTACAGAACTGATTTTTTTGATCGTTCTAAACTAAATCTTGGGCCTCATCTTTCACATTGTACCTTTAAAGTCAGAGCCAGACTAAAATCCCTTAAACATCAGTTTGTATAGAATGTATTTTCATAGTTTTAAATTACAAATCACTTCATTTTAATTAAATAAATGTTCTCATACCTTTTTTTTTTGCATTTTAAACTACGCTTGATGAGCAAGTGTACTCTGCTGTGGAATCCTTCAGGTTTCTGGGATCCACTATTTCCCAGGACCTGAAGTGGGAGCCCAACACTGACTCCATCATCAAGAAGGCCCAGCGGTGGATGTACTTCCTGCGTCAACTCAGGAAGCTCAACCTGCCTAAGGAACTGCTGATCCAGTTCTACACAGCCATCATCCAGTCCATCCTCTGCACGTCCATCACTGTCTGGTTTAGATCTGCCACCAAAAAGGACAGGAGCAGACTACAACGTACAGTCAGGACTGCAGAAAAAATCATTGGTGTCAACCTGCTCTCCATTCAGGGCTTATACATTTCCAGAGTCAGGAAACGGGCAGGAAACATCACTGCAGATTCATCTCACCCCGGACACAACCTGTTCCAGCTCCTCCCCTCTGGAAGGCGCTACAGAGCACTGTACGCCAAAACCAACAGACTCAGGAACAGTTTCTTCCCACAAGCCATCACTCTGATGAACAGCTGACTCTGACTCACAGTGTCAGGAACAATTCTTGTGCAATAACCCAGTAACTCTGTCTCTAATCAGCCACACTTGTTATTTATTTATTCACCATTCTCTATTTCATACTGTTATATTGTCATATTGTAGATACTATATACCAAATCCTACCTCAAGTCATAACTCCTGCACAAAATACTTATACTTGTTTATTCCTGCTCACTGCACTATTTGTCAACATGTCTATATTGTTTTTGTTCATAGTGTGTATATTTGTGTCTGATTTTATTTTATTTTTATTGTTGTATAAGCACATCGTGAGCAAAGTACAACCCTGAGTCAGATTCCTCGTATGTGAACAAATACCTGGCAAATAAAGCTGATTATTTCCCGGTCTGACCACATTTCAGGGTGGAACTAAGTTTCAAAGCAAAAGTTTCTGCGGAACATATTATCGCTCGAAAGAACTAACGTTACAGCAACAACGTGGAGCCGGATGTTGCGCTGACGTCACCCATGTTTGCCTGAACGCAATCAGGCGTAACTTTAGTTTTACACACACACACACACACGCGCTTTTCACTCATTGGGGGTTACCTGTCTCGCGGCCGTGAGCGTGCCGTCAACATCAAAGAGGCAGAGCGTGCTGGAGTCTGCAGAGCTGTCAGTCATCTCGTCTCTGACAGGCCGTGTCTTCTCAGAGTACAGCGAGATCTCGGCTTATATCCGCAGACTTTCTCGCTTTGCTGCCAGTATTTCTTCCACTTCTCGCGGCAGTATCATCCGGCTGCACGAGCGCTGCGCATTACAACAAGCAGACTACAACCAAAGACTTTTCTGCTGTTTCTTCTTCTTCGAGGTTTCACGGCAGCTTGTGTCCTTCGTGTTGCATTACTGCCATCTTCTGGAGGTAGTCAAATTACATCAGATCCCTTGCAGGCAGATCTCACAGCAGTCCTGTCCTTGTAAGACAGCTGACTTCACACTTTCTGCTTTGTGCCCTTTAAACCTGCCCCTGATGTCCCCGGTGTGTCCGTCCCGTCCACCCTGTCCTTTCTTTCTGCAGTTAACATGTTGTTCTGTTTCTGGTACCTGACAAAGTCCCGTTCAGGTTACTGGGTCCTGTTCTCTGCCCTCTCCATTATCTCCTGATCCCAGTGCCACTCTTTGTTCATTTCCTTCCACGAAAAACCATTTCCCTCTAATTTTAAAAGTTTAATTATATAAATGTTTTTTTTTTAACTGCTTGTTTGGCTAGTTCATTCATTTGCGCTCATTACCCACAATGCCCACGTGAGCGGGAACCCAAACGAGTGTCTCGCTCATGAGTGCATTTCCTTTATGTCAAATAGTGACTTAGGCATTGGTGATTGCTGGATGTATCTAGCTTTATGCTCTACAGAGCAGATGCTAAGTGAGGATCAGAGCTCTGTTGCGTTTGGCTTGTTCGACCCATTTTAAATCCATCCAACTGGCGTACAACCCCTCTGTGTTGAGACTCTGTGGCGAGGAACCTCAGCCGCAGAGCCGGTGCTGTCTGTTTTGGGATATTAGACATACTCTGTGCATTTACTTTCTCTATAACGAAATAACTCATTTACTAAATCCACACTTTTTCTCTCTTGCCTTAACTTTAAGCAACTTTAAATCTACCGCCTGCGGTTCTAGTACCCGCGCAGGGGTTGCAGGCCACATGGCCGTCGGACAGGAGCTGCCAGGTACCTCGCTGCTGCATTTTCTGTCCGGCCGAAACTTAATTTTACTGCTCCCTCCTTCTCCCAGCAGGCCTGTATGGAGAACATGTGAAAAGTATTAAACATTATGTTTAGGAAGCAGGAAAAACTACTCTTGGTTTATCCGTAACAGTACATCCATGTTAGTTCTCCAGAATTGGACTCCTGTTATTGTAAATCTCTATTTTAATTCCATTGTTGTCTCAATAGTGTTGAAATGGTTTGTACTGTTGTGGACATGTAACGACATAATCTTCAAAGACTGATTATTATTGTCATTTGAAATATTATCCAGCTCTAACAAACATTTTGTGCTTCTCGTTAACAGCAGAGATAGAGGAAGATTCATTTCAGAGATGGGTTGATAGGACTTTTCACTGGTGGTGGTGTTACACAGACCGGCATTATAGTGAAATCTTAGCCTGTTTGTAAATGTTGGCAAAATTTTAGAAATACCTCTCAATAATGCGGTCACTGCTAACTACAACTCAATAATTAGGTGGCTTGGCTCCGTACAAAGTTCACAGCAGATGGATAAACTGTTTATTATTACAGTTAGAAACACTAGATACTTATAAAATAGTTGTATTTTCGCTGTTTGTTGTGGATTCAACAAACTATAGCTACACCAGTCTTTATGTTAAGCTAAGCTAACAGTCCAGCTCTGCGCAGCACCATAGTGGGATTGATCTAATTGTCTGTGTCCTTTCATATAAAAAAAAATGAATAAAAACTGTATGAAAAGTTGTCCTGCAAAATGTATTAACAAGACCTTTCTGTGGCTTTCATCTTGTTCAGGATGTGTTAGAAAAAGAATGGTTTGACTCTAAGGTAGCTTTTCTTATAGGCCGTAGATTGTGACCTAGAATAGAGTAGAGTGTGCGCTGCGTCAGGGTCGCCTGCTGTTATGTTGTTAATGTTGTCGGATTGACTTGGAGTGCTTAACTTTGTGGGGGGTAGATTTGCAACAGACCTCTTGCTCCAACAAAGGGGGAAACATTTTGCTGAAGTTTTTCTTTGACATGTATTTCCCAGCAGCGCCTCCAGAAAGGTGACCCATCTACTAAATGCATGGGTGAAATAAAGACAATAGATTCGAATCACCCTCCATACACTCCAACCATTTACCCTACTTAAGGAAATTGTTGCTCTTATTTACATCACATGTAAAAAAAAAAAAACTAAAAAAAACAATGGTTACCCAGTTACACCAGTGTATGTGATGAAAGACTAGCTTCAGGCCAACACAGTAGTGGAGATGGTTCATAAAACAAATCTGTCATGAAACAATTGAGGACTAATCTGCTGTGCACCCATGGGCAAAGAGTATATGTTTTATTTGAGTTTTATTTCACTAGAATGTGTTATTTATAGTGAAATTTATAGTTTATCTTTCAGTCCACTTCATAAGGCTTTAAGCTGCTTGCACACTCAGACACACACAGACTGACTCTTTATTTGGTGTTGAACCAAGACACAGTATTTTGTTTTTAGAATGAATTCTTCTAATTATTTTTATTGTGTTTTCCAGTTGTAGCAGGAATATATGAGCCCGCACAGTACCATTCTTCATATTCGTCACATCCTCGCTGGAGCCAATCGACACCAGCGGTTTTGCATCCATCAAACTCGAGTCTTCTGTGCTACGTTCCTGTGACCATTCCTGCCATTTTTTCTTTTCTTCTCTCCTTTTAGACCTCCATGTGGACCAGGTGCTTGCATTGAACAAATCGGTGCACTTGATTTATCTTTACTTTTTTATCCTTTTAATGATTTCAGTCATGAAGTTGACTTTGTTTCACGTTTGCCTATTATAGAAATGTTTTTTGAAAGTCATTCTACTACCAGGGGCTTTCTGTAGTTTGATGATATATTTAACATGTTGGCTGTCTGTGGTTTCTGTTGCTACCACCTACCACTGAAACCTTGCCAGACGTCCTTTCAGTCATCTGCTGCTACAGTAAAAAGTTTGGTGAAGCAGCGTTCTGTTTTTATGCACCAATGGCCTGGAACAGACTTCCTTTACAACTAAGCGAAGCTACGCCTATAGATAGTTTTAAGAAGCAGCTCAAGACCTACTTTTATGCTCATTATTTATTATTTGTGTTATTTCTCTGCAACCTTTTTCCAGTTTTAATACCTGTATTTTATGTATGCAAGGTGCTATATTATTATTATTATTATTACTATTATTAGTCCTTTGTTGCCGGATTAACACATTTTCTAACACGTGCATGCACCATTATGGTCATTCATTCAATGATGATTGTAGAGAAGAGAAATGTGCTGCCATCAATCAACTAATTTTGTGTAATGCTTACAAATAGATCAGCATCCTCTCGCTTTTTAAGTTACAGGCCTGCACAGAATAAATCACTCACAATCAGCGGGCGCTAATATTTGACCACAGAGGTTTTGTTAAAAATCCTAATTTTCTGTGTAACTTTTAAAAAACTCTAGATTGGAGGCAGAAGGTTTATTCTGCTAAGAAACATATATTGTGTGGTTGATAATAAAGATGATTTATATAGCACATATCAAAAGAAGCAAGGCAGACATAAAATCATGCCTTACACACACATGTATATATAATTACATTACACAATTTACCATCAAGATTATGAGAAGAAAGAAGCACAAGTCTTGTAGTCACAATTGTTGCTATTCATCATATATTCATCAGAGATCAAGGCGATGTATGGTCTTGCAAGCAGGCAGTCTAAGGATAGATCTGACAGGATGTAAATATTTCTGTGTCTTCCTGTTTGTTCTTACAGGGCTGATGATACTTATCCGACTCGACTGCAGCTTGTTGTCACCCCCACCTGCTGGTGCCTGATGTCGTCCGGCGCAGTTCATCTCCAACGAGACTGGATTTCACTGCAGATCCAGAATGCAGCCTTCTCAGTTTATAGTTTACACTATGCTTCACACCGATCAGTTACCACCAGGTTTACGGTGAGCTGGGTTAATTCAGTTCATTTAATCATCAAAACGCAAAAGATGTGAAAGAAACAAACCAAACAAAAGAACACCCAGAGACCTTCAAACTGGACATAAATAACCCCACAGCAAAATAAAACTACCTTTATTGCCAGGTGACAAAATTAAGCTCTTGGCCATGATTTTGTGGACTTTTTGTTTTGGCCAGACATATCTGTCTCTCTGTCAGTAAATTATGCAAATGACAGTGTAGCTTACTCTCCAGGTTTTTGTGATTTGTTACTGTATTGATTTTAACCTAACATGCACACCCTGCCTATGAATGTTAAAACACCCAACGTTGTTTGCGGTAACTGAAGCTCATTGCTTTACTATTTGGTTTGGTTTTGGAACCATACTATCACAGAGGCATTTATGTCTTGTACATCACAGACATCTTATATTTCACTTTACAGCAGGTAGCCATTTATTTATTGTCCTAGTATGTCATCAATATTATGATATATGTATATTCAATTAAAAACGCACACACACAAAGTACTTTTCACTATTAATTTTTCATTTCTGGCGTATTATTCAAGTAGAAATAGCCACTTAAGTTGTATTTTGAAGGGGGACTAAATCCGGAAGTCTTTTCATTTTCTGCGCCCGTTATAAACAAATGAGCTGTTTTGGTTTAGACTCTGCAGAAGTTGCGTTTGTAGGTGAGTTTGCAACGCAGCTGGTTCAGCGAAGCGACGTGGAAGCGGTCCCGTAACGTTAGTCGTCCCTGCTGCCGTCAGTCGCATCATTTAGACAACAAAGCGTCCAAAAACCGCACGAACTTCACGCAGCAGCAGACAAAACGCGTTCGACTCCCCGCAAACAAAAGACTTTTCGCGCCGTATGTTTAAAAGCCCGGTTCAACCAATCAGCGTGCGCGCGACGCGGTCAAACGTGATGTCTTGATCGGATATGCGGCGACCAATCGCAGCGGCGCGTCCGTCTTGTGACAGACGTTCAAATTTAAATGCGTGAATCTGGCCAATGAGCGGGGCGGATGGGAGGAGCTGTGGAAGCACTTGTAGTCAAGTTAGTTTGGCCTCACAGACGGTGACAAAACAGTTGCGCCTTCTTCCTTATTCAGTCGTTTACAACTTGTCTTGTTGAGAACAGGTAAGACTCCGCAGATTTTGCATTTGTTTTAAGCTAGATTTGTTTTCTGAAGTCAGCGTTGTATTATTTGGTGTTTTCGTGTGATGTTTAGGACGATAAAAAAATTTCGGATCCGTACATATTGATCGTTAACAACTAAAGCCTATTAGTGAATTAAGTCGTTTATATGTTAACGTCGGTGAAAATCACAATGTTGTCCGCAATGTTTATGGTTTGCGGTTAATCCAAACTTACAAGCGGTGAAGTTGTTGCTCTTTTTCTGTTGCTGTGTGTTTTTTTTAACGTTAGTGCGCAACATGCAGTTCAAACGCCATTTGGTTTGGTAGCTTAGCGTGCTACACGACGGTAGTTCCCAGATTTAAAAGATTGAATGAAATCGGAGTGGGGTTTACACCACCGGCACGGTTAGTTGCACTGTAATTAAAAAGCAGGGAGCAAACGTTAGTCAAGTGAAATAAAAGCAATAGCTATTAAGTGACTTTGTTGGTTAAGCTTTTGGCGCAGTTGAGTTTAGGCGGGAAGATACAAAATGGAGTCGCGTCTTTTTGTCCCAGAGAAGCAGAAATCCGATTAGAGCCTTAAAACACCCGTGAGCACCGGTTTGCCCTATTTGAGCTACAATAAACGTTACTGTAATCACCGTAACGTTACTCGAACAAATGCTTGGGTCGAGATTCATTTAGTTTTAGTTACACTTAGTTCACATTGTGTTAACTTTTGGGTTATTGTTCCGATAATACAAGCTAGAGATACGTTAGTGGAACTTAACGTTATAATGTTGACTTCTTGCCAATATCGATAAATCGGTCGGTTTTGTTACTCGCGTTTCATGGGTGTTTTTTAATTTTTTGCCATTGTTTCTAGATCAATCGCAGCCATGACAAAGGACCCAAATAAGCCAAGAGGAAAAACATCCTCCTATGCTTTCTTTGTTGCGACGTGCCGCGAGGAGCACAAAAAGAAACACCCTGGGACCAGTGTCAGCTTTTCAGAGTTTTCCAAGAAATGCTCTGAGAGATGGAGGGTGAGTTATGAATTATCAATTTCTTAAGACTTGTGTTTGACTGAAATGTATCTAGGCGTTGACTTGCAAAAATAAGAACCAAAAATAAATGTGGTGTGGGAGGTGGCATTTATAGTTGTGTAGCTGCTTTGATGTCCCACTTGTGCCCACTTCCTGCATGGTCATCTGCAGTTTCCTTTTAGTTGTAAATAAGTGGAAAGGGGGAAATTACTTAGGTCATTTTCATGTGCAAGTATCCATGCCTGCGTGTCTCAAAATGTCTATACTCCGTACAGAAGTAAAGTGTTTTGTTTTTTTGTTTTTTTAAGGAGAATCACAATCTTAAGGTAACTGAACTTATGTGTGTGTGATTTGTAGACCATGTCAGCCAAGGAGAAGGTGAAGTTCGAGGACTTGGCTAAGAACGACAAGGTCCGTTATGACAGAGAGATGAAAACATACGTGCCTCCTAAAGGTACCGCGAAGGGCAAGAAGAAGAAGGACCCCAACGCACCCAAAAGGCCACCGTAAGTCTTGGACCGTCATCACATCTCCCATGTCAGGGCTTTTAAAAATTAAAGACGACTTGTAGCAGTTTTTGTGCATGAAAACATTCTGGCGCATTCTGATATTAACCTTTTTTTTATATATATATCTTTTTTCCCTTCCAGTTCTGCATTCTTCGTGTTCTGCTCTGATCACCGTCCCAGGATCAAGGAGGAAAATCCCGGTATTTCCATTGGTGACATCGCCAAGAAGCTTGGCGAGTTGTGGTCTACACAGGGTCCCAAAGACAAGGCTCCCTATGAGGCCAAGGCTGCCAAACTGAAGGAAAAATATGAGAAGGTATGTTTTCTTGTGTAATTGCATGGTATCAGTATGGCCGAGTGACTTTACTTTAAGGATGCATCTTAAACTTTTCACTATATTCTGTTCAACATCAACTACAGTCATAATGTATCCATGGTTTTATAAAATATCTGACCGTGCTGCGTGGTATAAAGAGGTAAATCATTTTCCCTTTTTAGGATGTTGCTGCATACCGCGCTAAATCGGGTTCAGGGAAGGGTGATACTGGTAAGAAGGGTGGCCCAGGCCGGCCCGCTGCCAAGAAAGCGGCACCAGTTGACGACGACGATGACGACGATGATGACGACGACGATGAGGAGGAAGATGATGATGACGAGGATGATGATGATGACTAAGCGGTTTATATGTTAAAGGATGTGAATTTTGCAATGCATTGTTCAGCTTAACGTGTGTGTTTTGTTTTTGTGGATGATTCCAACAATATAGTCTGCTGTCCCTGTTGGTCTGCCTCTGTAGGATACCAGACCTGTATTCCTTTTTTCAAATTCAGGGATTTAGTTTTTATTTGTCACTTAGTCCCCTTATGAATTTTTTTTTTTATAATTTTTTTTCCTGCTGAACTGGGGTTTGTTACATCGAAGATCCTCGTTTTCTAATTGGGCAGCCAGATATGAATTTCCTGTGATAAGGACTGAAAATGCCTGTACAGGCAGTGGACAGCAGCAAATCAGTAAGGTGGTGTGTTTGGTTTTTTTGTTTTTTTTAAATAAAACTTAAACTTATTGTTTCTGGAAGCACTGCTTATGTTCGGTTTAGTAGTGCAGTTTCTTCACTGTCATTTTACTACCAGGGGTTGTCTGTAGTTTAATTAAAAATGTTGCCAGCCATTTTTAAATGTGGAACGTTGAAAGCTTTTCATGTAGAATGATTTTCTTTTGTAATAAAATTTTGTATATTATGTGTGTGTTTGGGGTCTTTAATAGTCTGAAGTTGGATATTAAGTTGAGAGGGAGGTATTGATTGGTTCATTAAAATAAATTATTCTATTTGAAGACAGTATGGTCTACAAATTTTTTAAGGTACAATATACTTGTAAAATGTTTAAGTATATTAAATAGGGTGCAACTAGACTGTCTGTCCACTCAAATGAGTGGGCTAACAAGTTCATGTAGTTGGTAAAGCTCGCTGTTTAAGCATCAATGGAGAAAATCCTTGACAGTGATTTTTATGAAATTACTTACGACAAACATGTTAATTTTGAAGATGTTAAGTCATTATGCCGTCTGCTTTGGTGCCAATCATCTCATGTCCATGCTTGGAGATTCTTGTAGGGTAAAGTTCATCTATATTTTAAGTACTTTAATTAGGGAGCGTGGTAGCTATAACTATGAACTGCCTTGTATTTACCCCCAGTAACAGTAGAATGATAAAGGGCTGGAAAGTCAAGAAGTTAGCGGTGGATAAAAAGTCATGTACTTAGTGGTTCATGGCCCAGTTTCACTAGATATCAGAAAAACTGTTGGTGGTTAATGGATCCAGCGGGGGGATCAAGTCATGTAGATTAGATATTTTATGTGTGTCTGCTTGTATTTGTGTTGTTTCTTTGGCCTATAACATACAAAGTATTTGTCCAATAGATTAGTATCATGTTATCTAAGTAGTCCACATTTATTTTATTTTGAGGTGTCTATTTTCTGTATATTTCTACTGCACTCCATTTCAGAGGGAAGCGATGCACTGGAATTATGAAAAAGTCATGTATTGCAGTAAAAAGTACAAGACCTGCCTCCTCCTTTCTTGTTTCAAGATTCAGACACTCTTTTACAAAAAAAAAATTTAAAGCATATTTAGTCAAACTGGAGATTGGTTGAAATATTCTGACAGTTTTGCAAAATGACAAATAGGACTTAATTTACAGAAAGAAATGTCTTCAAAAGACAGCTTCATGTTGCAGCTGTTTTTAACTTTCAACGTTTGTTTACAAGAAATCTCCATGGTGCCCTTTAAGTATATTGTGCTAATAATACTTTCGTGTTATTAGTTAAATAAAATTGACCATAAACCACCAAAAACGAGTGACCACGGCTGGATTCCTCTAATTTAATCCTACATCATGCTGGACAGAGGCAGGAGAGGAAGACTCAGCCTACCTGACACTCCGGACAGCCAATAGCTGACTAAAATGATCAATCCCGCGGACCAATCGCTGCCGCCTTTACCGCCCACCTCACGCGGTGGAAGGTGAGCAGGGAGCATTTCAGCACCTGGGAGCTGTCCGTTGTGCACGAGCCGGCTGACAACCGACGGTAAGAAGAGACAAACAAACACAGATCCGCACCCGCACCGTGGCGTGAAGGAGCCGCGAGGACGCACGCGGCGTCAGACCCGCGTTCCGTTATCACCAGCCCGCCGCGCCGCGGCGTCTCCAGACGAACCACATCTGCGACACTCAAGCGCCAGTTTCCACACGGATTAGTTAATACCGCTGAAACCTGTTGATGTCACCTGGGCCTTGTTCAAAATCTAAAAAAAAAGGAAACATCAATGTGGTGGCAACAATTCGGGTGATGAGAAGAGCCGGTTAGTTGCTTCCAGTTTCCAGGTTTAGCGTTTTGACGAGCGTTTGTTTTAGGTTATTGGATTATTATTATTGTTGCTATCAGGTCTGAAACGAGGCATTTGTGTTAGTAGTTTGGTGTGAAGCGAGAGCCTGACTTACACCAGCACCAAGTGAAGGCAGCACGGAAAATAATACGTCTATAAACCGCCTCCTTTATGTACTCAGATAAATCAGTCTGGTTGAATCAATGTTTAATGTAGAGGTGTAATAAATTTTCCTTACCTACCAAGTTCGCCTGAAAACGAACCGAACCGGAAGTGACATTACCCTCAGTGGAGACCTGTGTCAGGCCCATGGTGACTAGCTGGACATCAATATTGTCTCATCTGAGTATGTGCACAATTATTTTAATAGAGCAACACGTATTTCCACGTACTGTTTCGTTTTGTTTCACTCTCTGAGTGTGTCGAGAATAAGCCATTTAAAGATGACACGTCTTGATTGGTCTCCTGGGAGCAAATTTAGCTTTAATAGACTCTTTTTTTTTTTCACAGCAAGACATGTCGACATGTCAAAGCAGGAAAAGCGCCAGTGCAATTAAGTGTCCAGAGCTTCCTGGACACTTAATAGTCACAATGTCTGCTGTGGAAAAAAAAAGGAGTAATTGTGCAAAATAGGGAAAAATAATGGATGAATTGATGGTTTTGTCTTAATCTTGCTGAGAAAGTAGCCATTTCCCTGACACCAGGCATTTACACCAAGCATGTCCAAAGTGCTGACTGTGTGTGTGTGCAGAGAGAGAGACAGAGAGAGAGAGAGGTTGGACCTAACAGGCTGGTTTATTCACACATTACTGAATGAGTAGAGCACTTTGACTGCATGAACCTGTGCTCCTAAATCCAAACCCCGCAAGATAAAGATAAAGGAAAAGACGTAACATTAGAAGAAGTACTGTTTCAAAAATGTAATTATGGGACGCCCAGAAAGGTCCACTTTAACATAACATGTTCCCCCCTCAAAGTCAGAGAGCAGCTGCGGATTGTGGGTTGCCGGGTCGCGGTGAGAGATGGGCTGACATTGTGTGTTGAATGTGTTTCATAGACAATCTGGCAAACACGTCAGACAAACATCCAAAACTTGGATCCATGTATGACGATTACAGTTTGAGGGCCATGCAAATTACGGGAGTTTCCCGAAAGGAAAGAACAAATACAGGTATGATGTGCAACTGCATATCAGACAATCTGCACTGTACAGGAAGAATCCCTGTTTCCCTTTTTTCAGCGGCGATTTTATGATGCCAAAAAAAAAATACAACAAAACCTTTTGTTTTGAATGTCTAAAAACTGAAATGAATGAACAAGCATAATCAAATATGACATCCGGGTCACAGTTATTCCCACAGTTTTTAGAACTTAAGATGTTTCTTTTATCATTTCTAAAAGAGAAATTAGAGGCAGCTGCAGCTTAGAGGTCGAGCGGGACCATCAGATACAATGAGAAGATCGGCGGTTCGATCCCCCTGCGCCCTCCCGCCTGTGTGCCAAAGTGTCCTTGGGCAAGATACTGAACCCCAAAATTGCTCCCAGAGGCTGCGCGCTACAAAGATTTAACGATTCTCTTAGCCGAATATCCTTTTGTGTTATTTTGGTTTGGTCATGAGCAAACTAACCAAAGAAATTACTTCTTTTTAGGGCTCTTTGTTTCGAGGATGTGTAGCTCCTGGAATGTGTGAAGTACCACCTTTCAGACGCCGTTGCCAGTTCAATTAGTATTCAGTAGATAAGCAGTAGGCTAGTCTTAGCCAATCACAGCAGAGATTAATTAAATCCTGTCTTTCTCTTTAATCATCTTATCCTCTTGAACCTGTGGATCAACATAGTGTGTTAGTATGTTGTGAGTGTTACAATCAGTGTTTCAACTGATCTTTAGACCCTGTTTAAAAGTCTACAGACTCGGGGACGGTCAATTATTTATTACTTAAGTTCTTTGCAAGAATCTAAATGTGCTCATTATGGTCGTTCATTTATCATGAACATGTGTTTTGGGGGAGTGGCTTTGCAGGGAGGCCTGAAGGGAGGGGGTGGGAATTAGTTTTTCTGTTCCTTGCAGGTACCCCAGCGTTAAAACATGACACGGTAAGCGTCTGCGTGTGTTTTATGTGTCTCTAGGCGAAGATGGCCAAGGTGAAGCAGGTGGGCTTGCTGGCAGCAGGCTGTCAGCCCTGGAATAAAGATGTGTGTGCTGCTAGTGGAGACCGATTTGCCTACTGTGCTACTTTGGCCATATACATCTACCAGGTGAAATACGCGCTGAGATGGCATTATGTGTGCTTACCTGCTGGAGCAGCTCTCACAGGCTGTACCTCTGTCATTTTACTGTTATTAACAGTGTTCGACTCACCACACGGGAAATGTGAGGTCACTGACAAAATACGAATGGTTGAGCTAATACGGTGTACGCATGGTACCCAAAGAAATAACAAATAGAGTTGTTTAAATCATTCAAAAACAATACACTGCAGCTTTTCTTTGTTTAGTCCTTTAGTTTGAAGTGCCTGCAGTTCTAGACAGAAATGAATCACTGCAGTCTTAGTTCAACTCATAATCAGAGCTGTTTGTTTCCCTTCATAAAATTCCTCGTCACTCTCTCCCTGTTGTAGTTGGACCAGCAGTACAATGAATTTAAGTTGAGGTCCATCATGGCAGAACACAAGAAGACCATAACAGCCATCAGCTGGTGTCCTGACAACCCCGATCTGTTTGCGTCGGCGTCTGCCGATAACCTGCTCATCGTGTGGAACGTAGCAGAACAGAAGGCTGTAGCCAGACTGGACAATACTAAAGGTGGATGGATAATCTACACCAGGTTTTCTTGGCGCACTGGAGTGTTTTTAGAGTGGGTGTTATTGCAATTCCTTCAATAACGTGTCACAGCGTCTCCCCTTCTTTCCCAGGTGTCCCTACCTCTGTCAGTTGGTGCTGGAACTCGACAGACGGAGTGGCGTTTGTCTCCCAGCGCGGTCCTCTGTATATCTGGGTCTATGGAGGTCCTGACCGCGGCGTCACAGTGCATAAAGAAGCCCACTCCTTCCTGTCTGATATCTGTCTCTTCAGATGGCACCCTACCAAGAAGGGCAAACTGGTGTTTGGACACACAGACGGAAGTTTGTCTATTTTCCAACCAGGTGCGGAGGCTCATTAAACATCCCTACGCATGCATTTGTGTCTTTCACGGGACAGTTCTTGTGACTGACATCCATGTGCCCAATCATAACATTTGTCACACATGTCTAACCCTGCTATTCTCTTCAGGTTCCATAAGCAGAGACGTCTTCATGAATCTGTCCTCTCTTGTGTAGGGAGTAAAAGCCAGAAGCATGTGTTGCGTCCAGAGTC